TGTAGCTTGTCTTTTCATTCTCTTAACGGCTCTTTTGCAAAGCAGAAGTTTAAAATTTTGATGAAGTCAAGTTTATAAATTTTTCTTTTTATGAATCATACATCTAGTGTCAAATCTCAGAACTTTTTGTCTAGCCCGACTTCCAGAAGATTTTCTTTTATATGTTTTTCTAAAAAATTTTCAGTTTTACATTTTATATGTAAGTCCAGGCTCATTTCGTGCTTCAATCTTAGAATCAACCATTCTGGGATATTTTCTGCCTCAGTCCTAGAATCAACCATTTCTCCAAGGAGCCCTCGTTCCTTTTATTGGAGAATGGTATTAGAAACTAAGACCTAGTACTAGGTGTACTTGTTACTGGAGTGTCATTGATTTTAGGTCCTCTCAGCCTACAGAGCAAGGAAATATGTTTTTCATTAACTCATGTACTAAAATTTTTATGTAGTTATCTAAATATTTTTACATGTAACCATATATATCTACATTAAACTAAACCTGAGTTCATATTGATATCTGCAACTCTAATCCATTAATGTATGGGGTTATTCGAGCTTCCTCTCTTTGCTTATATCTATAAATTCCCAACAGTGAGAATCTGGCATCATCAACCATCTATTTACTTAATTGTTCAGTTCCAGTATACATGCATAGTGGTTTCAGAATTGTTCATGAATACCCCTGTGGGAAACAACTAGAGTACAATTCTTATGTAGTTTCTCTTGCTTTAGTGTTAGAGACTCTCTCTACTCATTTTCAGAGTTAAATCATCACCTTTTCCCACACTCCCTTCAGTGAAATTGTTTCATACATTTGTAGTACAATTAGATTATTTTGTCAGTTTGCATTTCATCCTAGAATCCCTGGACCATCTAAGTGATTTTTTAAAAATTTGCACAGGTTTACTCTTTGCACTATGAGGTTCTATATGGGTTTTTACAAATGCATAATTTCACATATCCAAAATTACTTTATAATACACAACGCATGCCTAAAAATGTCTCCTGTACTTCATCTATTCAAACTTCCCTCTACCCGCTCCTCTCTGGCTATGACTAATCTAGTTATGAACTCTGTAGTTATGTCTTTTCCAGAATGTTATGTAATTGGAATTATATAGTATGTTGCTTTTCCAGACTGTCTCCTTTCATTTTATAATATGCATTGAAGATTAATCCATGTCCGTTTGGCCACCCTCTATATTTTGATTGGAGCATTTAATCCATCTACATTTAAAGTATTTGTTGATAGATATGTAGTTACTGGATAAGAAAACAAGACCCTTACGTATGCTGCCTACAAGAGACTCACTTCAGATCAAAAGACACACACAGACTGAAAACAAAAGGATGGCAAAAGATATTTCATGAAAATGGAAATGAAAAAAAAAAGCTGGAGTAGCAATACTTATACTAGACAAAATAAACTTTAAAATAAAAGCTATAACAAGAGACAAAGAAGGACCCAGTAATCCCACTTCCGGATATTTATTCAAAGAAACCTGAAACACTTCAAAGGGACATGTGCATCCATTTGTTCATTGCAGCATTATTTACTATAACCAAGATATGGAAGCAACCTAAATGTCCATTAATAGATGAATGGATAAAGAAGAAGTGGTACATATATACAATGGGAAATTACTTAGCCATCAAAAAGAATGAAATCTTGCCATCCACAACAACATGGATGGACTTAGAAGGTATTATGCTAAGTGAGGTTAAGTCAGACAGAAAACCAAAAACCAAATGATTTCACTTACATCTAAAAAATAAATGAACAAACAAAAGAGAAACGAACTCATAGATACAGAGAACATTTTGATGGTAGCCAGATGGAAGGGAGGATAGGGTGATGGGTAAAGGGGAGAAGGGATTAAGAAGTACAAATTGGTAGTTATAAAATAGTCTTGGGGATATAAAGTATAGCATAGAGAATATAGCCAATAATATTGTAATAACTATGTATAGTGTCAAATGGGTACTAGATTTAACAGGGTGATCCCTTCCTAAGTTATATATATTTCTAATCACTATGTTGTACACCTTAAGCTAATATAATGTGTGTCAACTGTAATTGAAAAAATTTATTTAAAAAAGATTAATCCATGTCTTTTTTTGATTCTGTTTATTTCTTTTTTAAAATATTCCATTGTATGTTCATCTGTTTACTTGTTTAGGGACATCTTGGTGGTTTTCAGTTTTTTGTGACTATGAATAAAGTTGCAATTTACATCCATGTGCAGGTATTTGAGTGGACATACATTTTCAAATCAGTTGAGTAAATATCTAGGTGTATGCTTGCTGAGTTATATGGTAAGACTGTGTTTAGATTTGTAAGAAACTTCCAAACTGTCTTCTAAAGCGACTGCCCTTTTTGCATTCCCATCAGCAATGAATCAGAGTTCCTGTTCCTACTCACCAGTAGTTTCAGTTTTGTCAGGTTTTTTTTTTTTAAATTTAGCTATTATAATAGATGTTTAGTAATCAATTGTATTTTTATTCTAAAAAATATACCAGAAGACAGATTATTTTGCAGTGCATAAGAATTAATTGAAAGCTATGATACTTTTCAAAGACACTGATAACCATTGACTTTGCCCTCTCCTCACAGAACGAGGAGCAGCCTCACTGCTAAGGGATTTTCTTCAAGACCCAGAAGAGCCCATATTTATAAACATTCTCCAGTTCTTAGCCCTATCAAACCCAAGGTACCTTTACAACAAATGCTTATGATACCTTGTTTTCTATGCTAAAATGAAATTAATCCATAATATAGGCTTACTACATAGTTTTAAAAAGTAAAAATAATGTCCTGTTACATAAAGGAGAAATTTTAAAAATTTAAATTACATATTATACCATGTAAACATTCAGTTATAACTACATTAAAGGACAATGAAGTAGTGAGGTATTAGTACCTTCTTCTTAAATAAGTAAGTGACAAGATCAGAAGTCTTTCCATACAAGACATATAGGCAAATTGAAGCAGTGATATGGGTGGATACTAGAATAAATTCTAGTATTACTCTTGCATGTAAGAAAAATAGAGCTTATTTGTATATGACGAGAGGGAACAACCCCAGTTGAAGTAGGAATAACATGTCAAGATAATTTACAGACTGCTGAAGTGAAAAAAGGACATATGATTCTTGCATATGAGCTCAACATTACAAGTATGGTATTAAAATTCCCTATATTATGACATAGGGTATGATAGTGACAAAATATCACGTCTCCTCCTATTTTTAAATCCCATTACATGTTGGGGCATATGTTCAGTCTCCACTAAAAAGGCCTGGGGGGCTATATTCTTCAATAAACAATAGGGACTGTAAGGAAAGATTAGAAAGATACTATAAAACAAGAGACTATATCTGGCTTATTTTGCTTAACGTGATTATCGCAAGGTCTATCCATGCTGTCGCAAATGGCAATATTTCATCTCTTCTTACAGCTGAGTAATGTTCCATTGTATATATGTACCACAGCTTCTTTATCCAGTCATCTATGGTAGGACACTTAGGTTGCTTCCATGTCCTGGCCACCATGAATAATGCTGCTAGGAACATCAGTATGCAAATATCTTTTCGGATATGGATTTTCAAGGCTTTAGGGTAAATACCCAGTAGAGGGATTGCTGGATTATATGGTAGATCAATTCTAAGTTTTTTGAGGAACTTCCATACTGTTTTCCATAATGGCTGTACCAATTTGCAGTCCCGCCAGAAGCGTATGAGAATTCTCTTTTGTCCACATTCTCTGCAGCATTTGTTATTACTTATTCTGTTGATTATAGCTATTCTAACAGGTGTGAGATGGTATCTCATTGTGGTTTTGATTTTCATTTCCCTAATAGCTAACAATGTTGAACATCTTTTCATATATTTGTTGAGCATCTTTTCATTTCGTTGGCCATTTATATGTCTTCCTGTGAAAAGTGTCTGTTCAGGTCCTCTGCCTATTTTTTGATTGAATCGTTTGTTTTTGTTATTGTATTGTATGAGTTCTTTGTATGTTTGACATATAAGCCTAAAAGCAACAAATAAACAGGACAAACAAGCAGAAACTCATGGACATGGACAATAGACTAGTGGTTACCAGAGGGTAGGGGGATTGGGGGGAGAGGGGAAGTAGATGGGGTAAAAGGGGTCAAATAAGTGGTGACAGAAAGAAATTTAACTATGGGTGGTGAACACACAGTGCAATGTGTGTGTGTGTGTGTGTGTGTGTGTATATAAAAATAGTCTATAGAGAAAGTATGTGACAAACCATTAGGTAAATGTAGTAAGAGCTGAGGACAGGCAAACCTAAAATAGTTTCAGTGCTGTTTTTACAACATATCCTTTCTTTATAAGGATGATATAAGATGGTAAGAATGTGAAATTAAAAAAAAACATTTTTATAATTAAATGTAAGGTCCCCATGTGTTCTGCTAATTTAATAATATTTGGCATTAAGTATCTTCAAAGAAGTCCCAAAGCTGTTACATATTTGCATTTTGCCTTGTCATCTTTGCACTCCTGTAATTGTATTTCTGTGCTGAAACTTTTAACTAACACGCAATTGAAAATACTATACAACATTGAGTGGATAGAAAGTAAAGAGAAGGTAAATTATACAATCATTTTAAAATAGTCTATCTGTTTAAGCTTTTCTCTCTGTAACATGTTTCTCTTAAATTATGTTGCCTTTTTGCATAAACATATGTAAAATCTTTTCAGTATCTCACCTACTAAATTATCATTAATTTATACTTGTAGTGGGTTTGACATCCTGGGATAGTAAAAAATGTTCAAGAAGATACTTTTTGTGTGGGGTACTATGTGTTTTAGAATATTTAACATCTCTGGACCCTAACTACTGAATGCCTAACTCTGTGTGTCTATCTTCAGTCATCAGACAAGCAAAAATGCCCCCATGTTCCCCAGATGTACCCTTGGCTACAGTACCTGCCTTGTTGAGAACCTCAAATAAATCAATGATTTCTGCCCTTTTTTTCAGGAGTACTGAAAATTTCAGCTATTTGAGCCTATAGAGTGAAGTATGGACAAATAGGTTTCGAAACAATTTCCTGGTGGCCGGAAATCATCTATTTCATGGAATGGGAATTTTGAAGCTGAGTTGAAATGATAGATGTCAGATATTGCAAAGGTGGGTGCAGAAAATGCCCTTGAGTAGTAAACTATTAGCAAAGAAGAAAACCAGATCAAGAACTAATTTTGCTCCTGTTTTGTTGTTGTTTGTTAATTCACAAAACTGGGTTAGGACATGGGAACCAAGAAGAAAAGGAAATGAATATGCAAGCTTATACCACATGCAGAGAGCACTACTGATACTTCCAAATCTAATCTTCATAAAAAACTCTGGGGCGATTGCACTGTTCTCATTTCATCCTCATGTAATAGTAGAGGAAACTGGGATTCTGAGAAATTTCACTAACTTTTCCCACCTCTGTTGAAAAATAGAACCTGCCAAAAAAGGAACAAGGAGAAAATTAGATGCTGTTGATTAGTCAAGCAGGTTCATAAGGTGAAAGATATCAGTGTTTGGGGAGAAATAGAAAGCCTTTGTGAAATGGTAGGTTTGGGCACTCAGTACCACCTATCCTGGTCTAAAGTCTTTTGTCCAAGTGGCAGGTTATGCCTTATATGTAGGAACAAAATACACTACCCAACGTTTAGACTTTTTAATTCAAATCTAACTGTGGCCAGATCTCCATTAATACTGGCATCTGTGTGTGATAATTAAACATTTCAAATCAAAAGATAGTAGCTCAGATTAAAGATTCAATGAAGTGAGTTATTTTTTGAGAGATTACAGACAGAAAAATTTTAAGTGTTTATTTTATTTACTACCCTTGGCAAGATCTATATTTAAATTAGTGTGTATTGCACTTTAATTCTGGAGTCTTAAGGGTGGTACACTGGAACATGCTTCTATCAGCTCATTAGGGCCAATTGTTAAATTTCAGTTTTGCCATCTGTTTGTCAAATCCTTGATAGACTGAAATAAGCCATGGTGGAAATATTTACATCACAGAAGTCAGCAAACCGTATAAGTCAAGCCCCTACTCTTCTATCCTAGAACCAATTGTTAAACATTTATCAGGATACAACTTTTTTAAGGTTTTAAAATGGTTCCACTATTGTCATTGGCATTTATTGGTGCTCAAGGGATCTTGATTTCTCAGGGTACCTTTCTAAGGCTTAAAGTCATTGGCCATTTGACAACTTCTGAAAAAATTATTTGCTTCTTTGCCATACCCATTTCCAATTGGGATAAGAAAGTGACAAAGTTACTCATTTGAGGGAAAGCTCTCTAGTGTAGGTGATGATGTAAATCAATTTGTGGCTCATTATCATTGAGGTTTTTTTTTATTTGCATTTATCTTCATTCTTTACTCTCATTGCCCTCTTTTGACATTGGCAAACATTCTAATCAATAAAATAGTTATGTATATGTTCTTCTAAAATGTGTACCGTTCTGCATACATATATTAACTTACAGAAATGGTTTATCTCACTCTGTTTTATTCTATTTTATACCTTTTACACACAGAACTAGTTTTATGAATTCTTAATTTGATTATGTTGTATTCTGGAAAGACTTCACTAGTCGCTTTCTCATTAACCATACTTGAGGATTCCCATATTCCCACATTCTTGCCAATACTTGGCAATTATCTAGCTTTCTACTTCCAGGATAATAGGTTTAAAGTGATATCTTCTTAAATTTACATTTCTTTGACTATTAATTTGTTTGAGCATCTTATTATCTACTTGCTAGCCTTTAAGATTTTCTTTTCCGTAAATAGCCGACGTATAAACTTTGCATGATTTTTTTCCCCATAGAGTTTCTGTCTCTTTACAGCACATTCTAGATATTATTATTTTTGGTCAATTTCAGATCCTGCAAGTTGCTTTGGAGGAACAAATTTAAATATCTTTAACATCCAGTCCTAAAATTAGAAGCTCGTAATTTTATATTTTTGATGATAGTGTACCAAGAAGAAAACTGTGCCCCTTGCTTTGCCCTCCACCCTTCTTATTGGTTCTTTTATCAGTCAAATTAGATTTGATTATGTTGCACTACTAAACATCTCTCATATCTTTGTGGCTTAAAAACAGGCAGCATGCCTAAGTGAGAAATGAACACATCAACTGTGGATCAGCACAGGAGTTCTGCTTGTCACAGTCACTCAGGGACTGATGGATCAGCTACCACATCGTGTGGCTGGTTGCTAAGACAAAAGAGAATTCTGGAGATCTAGCATCAGCAATTAAATGCTTGGCTTGGGAGTGACTCCTGTTGTCCACTACTCATTGGTCAGAAGTGGTCATGTGGCTTTATTCATTTCTAAGAGGGCCAGGAAATACAGTCCTGCCATTTTACCAGAAAGGGATGCAAATAGCAAAAAATCACTAGTGTCTGTCCTTCTGGCCACCAAATATGCTTGTCACCACTTTCTTTCCTGCAGCCTAGACATTTTGACTTTTCTTGAGAGATACAACCCAAAAATCATTTCCAGTCAGTGCATCAAACTCCAATCTCAGCACTTCTGAGTAATGAATAAAATTCTTTATATTAGGTCCAGATGTGATTCTTTATTATCTGGAAAGCAATGAATTAAGATGACAAGTTATTAGCTTCTCACATACCCAATACACATTGTTGGAATAAAGAAAGGATAACCGAGACAAACAATATAATTCAGATTAGGAAAGAATAGGACATTTGGGAGTCGACAGCAACTTTTTATAATTTTTATTATTAGTTTCAAGTATACAGTCTAGTGGTTAGACATTTATATAGTTTATGAAATGATCCCCCTGATTGTTCTTTCTCTCCTCTGGCTTTCCACCTAGCTATTACATTACTGCTGACTGCATTCCCTATGCTGTGTTCCCCATCCCCATGACCATTTGTCAACTACTAATTTGTACTTCTTTAACCCATCACTCCTTTCTTCCAGCCCCCAAACCCCCTCCACTCTGGCTGCAGTAGCAACTTTAAAATCACCTTGGGAATGTGTCGTGAGGGTCTTTTATGCTGTGGTTGTGGAATCTTTCTAATTAGGGCTTAATTCTGCCTCCTGGGAGGGAATTCCAAGCCCATAGTTTTCTCATCATTGTCTGAGGTATTTGGCTTCAGCCTTGGGATGTTTCTCTTCTCTCCATTGTCTTCCTTGGCTATGTTTGACAAGGGCTTTGGAGAAAAAAAAAAAAATCCTTCCTAGAGCTTGAGAAGCTTTCTCATCTTGTTCTATAGGGCTCAAGGGTCACTTTAAGTTTCAGATAGTCACCAAATTTTGGTCCGTTCTTGTGGTTTTTTGGACTATAATTACAAATATATTTGGGTTCTCATTGTTTGATTCTAATCAGCAGCATGTGTCAAAAGACACACTCATAATTATTTTCAAGACTGAGCTAAGTTCAATTAAGTGCCCAGCTTGAACTTATAAGGATTTGGTGGGAGAATCACAGCCTTTGTTTCTTTTCACTGAGCCATTTTTTCCTCTTAAAATGATGTAGTGGGTACTCTAACCTTAACTAGATCTGTGCTCTGAGATAACTGAAACCATTCAGAATTTTAAAGCTATAGCCATGCCTTTAATTTGGTTCTTGCCGTAAGGCTGAATCCTAATAAGCCTTTTTTGCTCAAAAGCCTTCTCAGTTTTATCTTTTGCCAGTTGGGGATGAGAAGCAGCGCCTTTCCCTATCTGTTCCCTTTCATTTTGCTTACAAACCAGCCATTCTTTCCTGAGTTAATTTACTTCTTGTTTGTTGACAAATATAGCCAATGGTAATTAAAATTCTTTTTTCCATTCTCTTCCTTCACAGCTGCAAGTTTATTAAGCATATATATTACATACCTTCTAAAGTATCACAGGTTACAATTTTAGTAAATATTTCATCATTGTATAACATGGATTATTATTTTTCCAGCCTGCATATTATCTTGCTACCAAGCCCTCAAGCTAAATAATTTGAGATTTTTGTTATGATGACACCTCCTTTTCAAAGTATTTGTATAAAGATCTAAGCATTCTTCTCCCCAAGATGGGTGATTAATGTAACAGATAACCATGAGGTTCTGCTGATTACTGGACTATTGTCCTCTGTGTTACTGAGTTAGGAGAAGACAATTGGTTCATTTTCTTTTAAGGTCCAATATTTCTAAATTTAGCATGTTACCAAATATAGCATGTTAAATTGCCATTAAATGAATACAAAAATCTAAAACATCAGTATCTAAAACTGATATATTGAATGTCTCTTGCTACAGTTGTAGCAGTCTTGTGGGTATGCCTGATATGGTTTGCCTTCTTGCCTGACCCTTTCACACTGGTGTAAAGAATACATGAGTAAGTTGGCAATACCTGTCAGTTTTCAAAATATGCTTGCACAATTAGAAATTTTCAAGGAATTGCATTGAGGCTATCCAGGCTCCAGCTTTGTGGGTTTTTCCTTTCAAGGGTTTTTCCTTCCTTGAGTAATTTTAGACATTAATATATTTGAGTCCAGATCTGGGGGAGGTAGAGAAATGAATAATGTTCCTTTACTTTGGGGTTGGTGTGGGCAAGACTCTTCCATAAGGCTTGAGAGAGCTGATGTCAGTTTCATATTTAGAGTTTATGCAATAGGTCTCAGACCCATCCAGCATTGCCAGGCATAAGAAGTGGTTGGAGATGATAAAGTCATCTGGATTGGTTAGGGAGGATCAAGATGACCCTGAATTAACCTCATGAGCTTGGCATCAGGAAGACTCAAGCTCTCCATAAACCCAGATGGTTAACACCTGATCATTGGTTACCAGTCCTATGGAGGGACTGGTGAGTGGAGGGAAGCGACAGCATCAAAGAGAAATGTAGGTCAACTCGTGAAATCTGTATGTAGAGCAGGTTGATCAAATTTTCCTCTAAAGGATCAGATAGTAAATATTTTAGTCTTTTTAGGCCAAATGTGATCTTTGTCACATGTTCTTTTTCACCTCTTTCTCTCTCTACCCTTCCTCCACCTTCCTCCTCCTTATCTTAGTTCTTCTTCTCTTCTTCCTCCATCTTCTGCAACTCTTTAAAAATATAAAAACCATTTTTTTTTTTTTGTTCCTGGATCATACAAAATTAGGCTGCAGACTGTATTTAGCTCTAT